GAACGTGTTTTTCCCGTGGCAAACGGTGTCTGTACACCTGAGCGGAGGGTTTCTGGAAAGCAGCAGATTGGCTTTGAGGGTTTATTTAGGGTTTACGAAAATGGAAATAAAACGCTATTTGGAGTGTATGTACACCTCGAAAGTCCTCAAGGTCAACACGCTCGTCAAGGTTCCCGAGCGCCGCCGCAACCTCCGCGACAGCCGCCGTACAAACCCTAAACCCTAAACCCTAAACCCTAAACCCTCGGCTCCCGAGCCTCGCGCGCAGCCCCTCGCCCGCCGCCGCAGCAAACCCTAGGCGCTTGCAAACCCTAGGGCCTCGCAGTCGCTAAACCCTCGCAAACCCTAAACCCTCACAAACCCTAAACCCTCACAAACCCTAATCCCTAAAACGGACCCAAACCCTAAACCCTAATCCAGCCCTAGCCCCTCGCAGCGCCTAAACCCGGGAGCCTCCCAAACCCTAAACCTTAATGCGGCTAAACCCCCCTAAACCCTAAACCCTCGACCAGTGGGCTTGGGGCTCAGGATTCAGGCTCCAGGCTGCAGGGTTCAGGGCCAGCCTTTAGGGTTTAGGGTTTAGGGTTTAGGGTTTAGGGTTTAGGGTTTGTGGCCTTGGGGCTCAGGATTCAGGCTCCAGGCTGCAGGGTTCAGGGCCAGCCTTTAGGGTTTAGGGTTTAGGGTTTAGGGTTTAGGGTTTAGGGTTTGCGAGGGTTTAGGCGAGGACTTGCGGCTGCACCCCAGCCACCGCGAAAACCCTCAAACCTCCCTCGAAGCTCCAGACCTCCGGCTGCCTTTCCGCCATTCTGGGGTTTACGCGGGGACCTTCAAACCCCAGGAGCTGCAGCACCAGCCCCAAAAACCCGTAAGCAGCAGCAGCAGCAGCAGCAGCAGCAGCAGCAGCAGCAGCAGAGGCAGCAGCAGCAGCAGGGGCGGCTGCTGCTGCTGGGGACGGTAGGTAGGGCCAGGCGCTTCGAGAAGGGATCACATGGCTGTTCGCTGCTGCGTTGTTTCTTCGTTCTAGGGTTTAGGGTTTAGGGTTTAGGGCTGAGGGTTTAGGGTTTAGGGTTTTGTGCCTGTACTGCATGCAGCTGGACTTGCGGCCCTGGCGGAACCGTCTCTCGCGTCCACAGCCCCCCAATGCTAACTAGCTAGCTAGCTGGCTAGCTAGCTAGCTAGCCAACTAACTGTCTAGCTAGCTAGCTAGCTAGCTAACTGGCTAGCTAGCTAACTGGCTAGCTAGCTAGCTGGCTAGCTAGCTAACTGGATAGCTAGCTAGCTAACTGGCTAGCTAGCAAGCTAGCTGGCTAGCCGACTAGCTGGCTAGCCAGCCAGGCAGCTAGCTAGCTGTGGCTAAGTAGGTGCTGGCTGGCTAGCTAGCTAGCCAGCTGGACCAGCTAGCTAGCTAGCTAGCTAGCGAACGAGCCAGCTAGCCTCTTGGCTAGTCAGGCTAGCTGCTGACTAGCCGCGTACGAGTGCAGCAGCAGCAGCAGCGGCAGCAGCAGCAGCGGCAGCAGCAGCAGCTTCTGGTGCAGCAGCAGCTGCTTCTGGTGCAGCAGCAGCAGCTGCTGCTGCTGCATCTCACTAGGAAGGCTCTAAACAACAATGGCCTTAAACCGCAGTCGAGGTTGTTATAGTCCTGAATGAGGGTTTAGGGTTTAGGGTTTAGGGTTTGGCGTGAGGCAGCAGAACTGGCGGCGGGCGGAATGCAGCAAAGAACAATTAAGAAGAGCCAAAGTAGACACAAGGGCTCCAAACCCTAAACCCTAAACCCTAAACCCTACTCAAAAAGAAAGCGCTGCAGGAAAACAGGCCAGGCTTCTTGAGCGCGTCCACGGTGGTTTAGGGTTTAGGGTTTAGGGTTTAGGGCTTAGGTCAGAAACACTTTAACTTTTTCTTTTCCAAACCCGCTCCTGGCGAGCCGCTGCTTCTAGGGTTTGGGCCGCTGAAACCTAAACCCCAAACCCTAAACCCTAAACCCTAAACCGCCGGCCCTCGCCCCTAAACTAGCCCAAGCCCGCAGCAGCTAGCCGTGGGCAAGAGTAGCTGGCTAGTTGCAGCTAGCTGCCCATGGCTAGGAACAGCTAGCTGTGGCTAGCCAGCTGTGGCTAGCTAGCTGTGGCTAGCTAGCTGTGGCTAGCTAGCTGCAGATGCTGCGTGCGCGGGGTGGGTGGTGGCTGGGGGGTGTTGGGGGTTTGTGAGTTCTCGCTGGAATTTGCGTTTGGAGGGCAAAATGAGGGAAATAAAAGAATAAAAATGGAAAATAAGTAAAAATAAATTAAAATAAATTAAAATAAATTAAAAAATAAACAAAAAAGGGGAAAAAAAGGAGAAAAAAAGAAGAAATGAAGAAGTGGGAAAGAGCCGGCTCCGCGGCAGACCCCCGGCAGGCCGAGGTGTACGTACACCCCAAAGTTCGCAGCCAACTGAAAATCTCCTTTTCTTAAAACGCTGCATGCAGAAAAGGGTTTGGGGCTGGCGAGGGTTTAGGGTTTAGGGTTTAGGGTTTAGGGTTTAGGGTTAAGGGTGGGAGCGCCTGGCTGCTCCTAGACAGCCCCCCAAAAGCTCTTTTGTTTCTTTTTAATTCACTCTAAGCAGCAGCAGCAGCAGCAGCAGCGCAGGGCCCCACTGCTGCCTGCAGCAGCAGCAGCAGCAGCAGCAGCAGCTGCTGCACGACCTGCTGCTGCTTTGCTGCAACATAGTCCCAGGACGTGCTTTTGTGTCCAACTGTCTTTTATTTTCTTTTATTTTCTCTTTTTCTTTTTTCGTTTGCTGCATTTGCTGCTGCTCTGGGGTTTAGATACACCTTTGCTGCGCTTCTCGCCCTGCTGCTGCTGCTGCTGCTGCTGCTGCTGCTGCTGCTGCTGCTGCTGCTGCGGCGAAGGGGGCTTGCCTTCGTTTTATTCTCCTTCTTCCTCTGCGGGCGCCCGACTCCATTTTCTTTACTCGTGAGCCGACCGCCCGAGGGTTTAGGGTTTAGGGTTTAGGGTTTAGGGTTTGCGGGGGGCCCCTCCGGCACTAGCTGCAGGGGCCCCCACAACCCTAAACCCTAATTCCGTAAACCCTAGCGATTGCCCTTATTATGAAGAAGCTTTAAGCTGCTGCAGGGCCCCCAAACCCTCGCTGCTTTCGTGCATGCGCTTCAGGGTTTAGGGTTTAGGGTTTGGGGCGTGGGGTTTAGGGTTTAGGGTTTAGGGTTTAGGATTTAGGGTTTCGGCACCCCAAAGTTCTTCGAGGCGGGTTTGTCAGCTGCTGGCCAGCTGGTGTGGACTGCAGCGATAGGGAGGGTTTAGGGTTTGGGGTTTAGGGTTTAGGGTTTAGGGTTTAGGGTTTAGGGTTTGTGTTTAGTGTTTGTGAGAATGGAGCGGCGGGTCGCGGAGCGCAAGGCAAACTTCAAAAAGAACTTCGAAGACCCTCGGAGGAAGCGCGAGGATTTGCAGGTAATTCATACCTAGGGTTTAGGGTTTAGGGTTTAGGGTTTAGGGTTTAGGGTTTGGCTCCCCGTTCGCTCCGCTGCTGCCTCCAAACCCTCTCAGTCCGCAAAACTGCCCCCCAAGCAACTCAACTAAACAACAAAATTAATTAAATTAATTAATTATTTAATTAATTAATTAATTATTTAATTAATTTAATTTATTTAATTAATTAATTAATTAAATTAATTAATTTTGATTTCCACCTCAGGTGCAAATTCGAAAAACCCACAGAGAACAAAACCTCGCTAAGAAAAGAGCTGAGGCCCTAGATGAAGCTGAAATGGCAGCAGCGGGGGGCCCCCAGGGGGGGCCCCTGGGGGCCCCCCTGGGGGCCCCCCTGGGGGCCCCCATGGGGGCCCCCATGGGGGCCCCCGTGGGGGGCCCCATGGGGGGCCTCTCGGGGGCCCCCCTAGGGGGCATGGACTTAGCACAGGGTACTGGGGGGGCCCCCGGGGCCCCCGCGGAGTTCTCTGGAAGAGATTTGAAGCAGCTTGTTGAGGCTTTAGGCAGCGGAGTGCCGGAGGCGGAGATGCAGGTCTGCTGCTGCTGCTGCTGCTGCTGCTGCTGCTACTGCTGCTGCTGCTGCTTGTGCTGCTGCTGAGGATGGTCGTTGTGCTGCTGGTGGTGCTGCTGCTGCTGCAGCAGCAGCTGCTGCTGATGATTGTGGCGCTGTTGCTGTAGCTGTTGCTGCTCCTTGTGATGGTGCTGCTGCTGGTGATGGTGCTGCTGCAGCAGCAGCAGCAGCTGCTGCTGCAGCTGCTGCTGCAGCAGCAGCAGCTGCTGCTGCTGCAGCTCTTTGAGTGCGTATTCATTTGCTTTTTTTCGCGCAAGCAGCCTCACAGCTGCAGCTCATTTGGCCTTTATTATTCATTTATTCCTTTGTAATTAATTAACTATTTTATTATTTATTTATTTATTTGTTTATTTATTTATTATTTATTTATTTATTTATTTATTTTTTATTTATTTATTTATTTATTTATTTATTTTTATCTTCAGGCCACGCAGGTCTTCCGCCGCGCCCTCAGCATAGAGAACAGCCCTCCCATTCAAGCCGTCATTGACGCGGGTATTATTTCTTTTCAATTTCTTTTATTAATCTTTTATAAATATAATTTATTTATTTTGTTTATTTATTTATTTATTTATTTATTTATTTATTTATTTATTTATTTATTTATTTATTTATTTATTTATTTGGTTCGCAATTTGGCAGTGTGCGGTTGCCGCTGCGGCGGGCGTTGGGGTGTCTAGACAGCTGGCGCGAGTGGGTGGATTTCCAGTTTTTGCAAAAGTGGAAATTTTGGGTTTTTTGGCGCCATTTTTAAAGTTTTTGGACCATTTGAGTTAATTTTTTGAAAAGCTTTTTGAATTTGGGAGAAAACGCGGGAAAAATCCGGAAAAAAGACGCGAAACCGCCAAACCCTAAAAAAGGGTTTGCGCTGCAGGCGCCGTGCCCCACTTCGTCCGCTTCCTCTCCATGGAGGGCCGCGAGCAGCTCCAGTTCGAAGCCGCGTGGGCCTTGACAAACATAGCCTCGGGCACTCAGGAGCAAACCCGCGTAAACCCTAAACCCTAAACCCTAAACCCTAAACCCTAAGCCCGAAACCGCAAACCCTAGTTGTCGGCGAGGGTTTGGGGTCTCGCGGGCGCTGCGGCCGCGCCGCGTCCGCGCAGCGGCTCCGAGCGGAGCGCCAGGGCCCAGGGCCTGCGGCCTGGGGCTTAGGGTTTAGGGTTTAGGGTTTAGGGTTTAGGGTTTAGGGTTTGCTGCAGGTGGTGGTGGACTGCGGGGCAGTGCCCTGCTTCGTGCAGCTGCTGAGGTCCCCCAAAGAAGAAGTTCGCGAACAGGCGGTTTGGGCTTTGGGGAATATTGCGGGGGACTCCCCGAGTTGCCGCGACTTGGTGCTGGACAGCGGTAAACCCTAAACCCTAAACCCTAAACCCTAGCTAAGCCCTAGCTAGACCCTAGCTAGACCCTAGCTAAACCCTAGCCAGCCCTGGCTAGCCCGCGCGGACCCTGGCTGGCCCAGCGAAGCCCGGGGGCTTGGGCTGGACGCGGCGGCAGCTGGGAGAGGTGGGGGGCATGCGAGGGTTTAGGGTTTAGGGTTTAGGGTTTGGGGGCGGGGGGTGCTTGCAGACGCCCTGCAGCCGCTGCTGGAGCAGCTTAATACTCCCGGCTCGAAGTTGGCGATGCTGAGGAATGCCACGTGGACACTGTGAGGGTTTAGGGTTTAGGGTTTAGGGTTTAGGGTTTAGGGTTCTTGGCGAATGACTCAAGGTGGCGGGTCTGGCGTGGCCGAGCAGACCTCCACAACTGCCCTCATTGCTAAGGGTTTGGGGTTCACTAAGGTTCATTAGGGGCCACTAGGGTTTATCAGGGTTTAGGGTTTAGGGTTTAGGGTTTAGGGTTTAGGGTTTGTGGACAGGTCGAACTTTTGCCGGGGCAAACCCGCACCCGCTTTTGAAAAAGTTTCTCCAGCGCTGCCGACTTTGGCGGCTTTGATTTATTCAGATGATGCGGAGGTGAAAATAAATAAATATTTATTATTTATTTATTTATTTATTTATTTATTTATTTATTTATTTATTTATTTATTTATTTATTTGTGTTTATTTATTTGTTGTTTGTTTTGTTTGGATGTTTGCGAGTGCTTTTATCCGAGGCTGCTGCGCTGCTGCTTGCTTCCTGCTTGCTGCAGTACCGCCCAATTAGGGTTTAGGGTTTGGGGTTTAGGGTTTAGGGTTTGTGTTGCTGTTTTGTTCTTTTTCCCACCGTTTCCTGAAACCACCCGCCCGTGGTTTATTATTTATTTATATTTATTTATTTATATATATATTTATTTATATTTAATTATATTTATATTTATTTATTTATTTATTTATTTATTTATTTATTTATTTATTTTTATTTTTTGCTTTAAATACTTTATTTGTTTACTACAGACACTTGGCTGCTGCTGCCGCCGTTCTTTTTCCCCTCAATTCCTTTCCAACAATTACCAATAAATAAATTAATTCAATTAATTTAATTTAATTGATTTAATTTAATTTAATTAATTTAATTAATTTAATTTATTTAATTTAATTTATTTATTTATTTATTTATTTATTTATTTCTTTTTAGGTTCTTACTGACGCCTGCTGGGCCATTTCTTATCTTTCCGACGGCCCCAACGAGCGCATAGAGGCGGTGCTGCAGGCCGGTGGGAAATAAATAAAAAATAAAAATAAAAAAATAAATAAATAAATAAATTAATTAATTAATTAATTAATTAATTAGAATTAATTAAAATAAATAAATAAAATAATTATTTATTTAATTATTTAATTATTTAATTCGCTAGTTGGGTCTGGAAATGAAGAAAAAGGAATTTCTGTCGAACTGGGGTTTTGCAGTTTTGCGAATTTTCGGATTTTGATTTTAAATTCTTTTTCATTTATTTTATTTTATTTTATTTTATTTTATTTATTCGAATTTGTTTCAATTTAATTATATTTGTTTTAATTTGTTTTAATTCATTTTGATTTATTTAATTTATTTTATTCGATTACGTTTGTTTGAATTCATTTGAATTGATTTTAGTCTTTTTAAATTTATTTTAATTCATTTTAATTTATTTTAATTCCTTTCAATCCATTTATTTCTATTAAATGCATTTAAATTGCTTTGAATTCATTTTAATTGATATCAGTTTATTTATTCGCCTTAAACTCATTAAAATTGATTTAAATTCGTTTTAATTATTTAAATTCATTTTAATTATTTAAATTCATTTTAATTTATTTTTATTTTTTATTTCTTTTAAACTCTTCAGGGGTTTGCAGCCGTCTTGTCGATCTCCTAAACCACCCCTCTTCTCTCGTGCAAACCCCCGCGCTGCGCGCCGTGGGCAACATAGTCACTGGTAAACCCTAAACCCTAAACCCTAAACCCTAAACCCTCGGGGAGGTGGGGATCTGGATCTGGGGCGAGCTGAAGGGCTCTTTGTGCTGGATTTTGCTTCGACTATTTCACTTCATTTGTTTTAATTAATTAATTAATTTTTGTTTATTTATTATTTATTTATTTATTTATTTATTTATTTATTTATTTGTTTATTTATTTATTTATTTAACAGGAGATGACAGACAAACTCAAGTTGTGCTGACTTGTGGGGCCCTTCCCAAACTCCTCGCGCTGCTGTCTTCCAGCAAAAAGACTGTCCAGAAAGAAGCTTGCTGGACCATCTCCAACATCACTGCAGGTTTGCTGCTGCTGCTGCTGCTGCTGCTGCTGCTGCTGCTGTGTCTGCTGCTGCTGCTGCTGCTGCTGCTGCTGTTGTGTCTGCTGCTGCTGCTGCTGTTGTGTCTGCTGCTGCTGCGTGGTTCTGGTGCTGTTGCTGTGTCTGCCGCAGCTGCGGTGGTTCTGCTGCTGCTGCAGCGGTGTTGCTGCTGCTGCTGGTTCTGCTGCTGCTGCTGCTGTGGGGAGCGCTGCAGCGGTGCTGCGGGGGTTGCTGCTGCGCTGGGAGTTGCTGCTGCTGCTGGCCTCCATGTTGCTGCTGCTGCTGCTGCTGCTGCTGCTGCTGCTACGGGGACCTTCCAGGAGCTATCTTTTCCTGCTGCATCTCCCAGCTCCCCATTCTTTTGCGAATAAATAAATAAATAAATTATTTATTTATTTATTTTAATTAACATTTATTTATTTATTTATTTATTTATTTATTTATTTATTTATTTGTAGGAAGTCGAGAACAAGTGCAAGAAGTGCTGGACAGCGGGGCCGTGCCCGCGCTGCTGCACGTTTTGGAGACAGCCGAATTTGACACAAAAAAAGAAGCAGCTTGGGCCATCAGCAACGCCGTCAGCGGGGGCACTGATGCCCAGGTTAGGGTTTAGGGTTTAGGGTTTAGGGTTTAGGGTTTAGGGTTTGGGTTTAGGGTTTGGGGTTAGGGCGGGGTGGAGGGAGGAGGGTGGAGGGTGTAGGGCTTGGGCCATCAGCAACGCCGTCAGCGGGGGCACTGATGCCCAGGTTAGGGTTTAGGGTTTATGGTTTAGGGTTTAGGGTTTAGGGTTTAGGGTTTGGGGCTGCAGGGCTGTGCCGATCCGCAACTGGGTGAGGGGTTCCCCTGACGCCGCGGCGAGGGTCCGGGCTGCAGCTGAGGGCTGAGGGTTTAGGGTTTAGGGTTTGGGGTTTAGGGTTTAGGGTTTAGGGTTTAGGGTTTGGGGTTTGCGTGCAGGTGGAGTCGCTGGTGCGGATGGGTTGCGTGCCGGCGCTGTGTCAGTTGCTGGGGTGTATGGACAGCAAGATCGTGATGGTGTCTTTGGAAGCTTTGCATGCAATTTTAAAAACTGGAAATAAAATAAAAGAAAGAGAGGGTTTGGACTCAAACCCTTTTGTGGATTTAATTGAACAAGCCGACGGCGCTGCAGCTCTCGAGCGACTCCAGGAAAGCAGCAACGACAGCGTCTTCAAAAAGGTCCGCCTAGGGTTTAGGGTTTAGGGTTTAGGGTTTAGGGTTTAGGGTTTGGCAATGCGGTTTGGGGTTTAGGGTTTGGCATTGCGGTTTGGGGTTTAGGGTTTAGGGTTTGGCAATGCGGTTTGGGGTTTAGGGTTTAGGGTTTGGCGCTGCGGTTTAGGGTTTAGGGTTTAGGGTTTGGCGCTGCGGTTTAGGGTTTAGGGATTAGGGTTTGGCGCTGCGGGTTAGGGTTTAGGGTTTAGGGTTTGGCGCTGCCGCTGCATGCGTTTGGGGCCTCGCAGTTTGTTTTGTTATTTTTGAATGCACTCGATTCTTTTTTGCTTCTGCTGCTGCTGCTGCTGCTGCTAATGAATCCTTTTTGCTGCTGCTGCTAATGAATCATTTTTGCTGCTGCTGCTAGTGAATCCTTTTTGCTGCTGCTGCTGCTAATGAATCCTTTTTGCTGCTGCTGCTAATGAATCCTGTTTGCTGCTGCTGCTAGTGAATCGTTTTTGCTGCTGCTGCTGCTGTTGAAAATCCTTTTTGCTGCTGCTGCTGCTGTAGAAGATCCTTTTTTGCTGCTGCTGCTGGGGATGATTCTAGTGCTGCTGCTGCTGCCGCTTCAAGTGCTGCTGCTGCCGCTTCAAGTGCTGCTGCTGCTGGCGCTTCTGCTGCTGCTGCTGCTGCTGCTGCTGGTGCTGTAAGTGTCTGATACCATTTTCTTTCTTTTTTTTCCCACGAGAACAATTAAGCATTTATTAAAATGAATTTAATTAAAATTAATTTATTTATTTATTTATTTATTATTTATTTATTATTTATTTATTATTTATTTATTATTTATTTATTATTTATTTGTTATTTATTTGCTTTTAGGTCTTCACCATAATTTCGACTTATTTTCCCTATGAAGAAGATGAGCCAGTTGCTGCTGAGGGCCCCACAGCTTTTGGTGCTGAGGCTCCTCAGGGGGGTTTTAAGTTCAATTGAATTAATTAATTCTTCAAATTTAATTCAATTTAATTGAATTTAATTAAATTTAATCGAATTTATCTTTTAATTCGATTAATTCCCTCAGAATCGATCCGCAGGCACCTATTTTTGACGCAGCCGCATGCCCTCTGCAGCAGCAGCAGCAGCAGCAGCAGCAGCAGCAGCAGCAGCAGCAGCAGCAGCGGCGGCGGCAGCAGCAGCAGCTGTTTCTATTTATGGAGACATACGCAGTCTCGAATGGGGGCCCCCCATGTTTTGCTGCTCCCGGGGGGCCCCCTTTAGCTTTTTGCTGCTGCTGCTGCTGCTGCTTATAACTATAATAGAGAGGTGGGGGGCACGGGGCCCTCTTTGGGCAGAAGCAGCAGCAGCTGCTGCTGCTGCAGCAGCTGCTGCTGCTGTCGCTCTCACTGCTGCTGCTGCTGCTGCAGCAGCAGCGGAGGAGACACCCAAACGTGCAGAGGGAGAGCAGCAACAGTGCTGCACCGGTTCAATATATATGCAAACCTAGGGTTTAGGGTTTAGGGTTTAGGGTTTAAGGCTAGGGTTCCCGCGAGCGAAACTCCTTGGACCTGCGTCCAACCCCACCCGCTGCTGCTGCTGCTGCTGCTGCTGCTGCTGCTGCTGCACCTACATTAGAAGCAGTTAGAATAGCAGTTAGTCTATTCACCAAAACAAATAGGGGGCCCCCAGGAGTTCAAGTGTGGGGCCTCAGTAGGCCCTGGGGGCCCCCCAGGCCTGGGCCATTAGGGGCCCCTCTGCTACATTGGGGGCCCCCCAGCCCGCGGCTTCATTGGGGGCCCCCAGCTGGGGGCCCCCCAGCCACAAGGGGGCCTCATAGGGGCCCCCCAGCTGAGGGGCCCCATAGGGTCCATTTGCTGCAGAAAGGTCATAGGCAGCCCCGATTGTGGGGGGCCCCCCCAGCTGGGGGCCCCCAAGCTGGGGGCCCCCAAGCGGGGGGCCCCCAAGCTGGGGGCCCCCAAGCTGGGGGCCCCCGTAGGGGTCTGCTGCTAGCTGGGCCCCCCCCCACTGCTGCTGCAGCGTTTGCTGCTGCGTCTGCGGGTTCGTGGGGCCCCCAGCCCAGGCACTGTTGACCTCGGGGGCCCCCCCAAAGCTGGCTGTGGGGCCCCCCAGGGGCCCCCCAAGGGGGCCCCCCAAAGCCCCCCCCTGCTGCAGCGTGGGCCCCCCCTGGGAGGCCCCTAGGCTAGCCCCCTGGGCGAGAGTGGGCCCCCCCAGGGGCCCCCCCATGGGGCCCCCCAGGGGCCCCCCCATGGGGCCCCCGGGGGGGGCCCCCGGGGGGCCCCCCAGGGGCCCCCCCATGGGGCCCCCTGGGGGGGCCCCCGGGGGGCCCCCCAGGGGCCCCCGGGGGGCCCCCAAGGGGGGCGCGGGGGGGCCCCCCGGGGCTGCTGCTTTGGTAATTAAGGTGAGGAGATGAGCTGTTCTTTGGAGAGCTGTTGTGTTGGGATTGGAGAGCTCTTGAAGAACTGCTGTGAGGCTGCTGCCAGTCCTGACGAAGGCCTTGAGGTAGCCCCAGTGCTGCTGCGCTGCTGCTGCTATGTCTGCTGCTGCTGCTATGTCTGCTGCTGCTGCTCCCCCCCAGTCCCAGGCCGCGCGGCCTGCGAGGCTGCGGCCCTCTGCGTTGGGGGCCGCAGCAACTTCGCACTGACACACAGCAGCAGCAGCAAACCCCGGCAGCGGCAGCGCAGCAGTGTACACCGTCGTCCACCCGCTGCTGCTGCTGCTGCTGCTGCTGCTGCTGCTGCTGCTGCTGCTGCTGCTGCTGCTGCTGGCGGCGTCGCCGCTGCTGCTGCTCGCCGCCGCGGGGGCGCTCTCGGCGGCCGCGGCCGCGGCCGCGGCGCCGTCGCCGCTGCTGCTGCCATCCCCGCCGCTGCTGCCGCCGCTGCTGCTGCTGCTGCTGCTGCTGCTGCTGCTGCTGCTGCTGCTGGTTGTGACCAAGATGTTGCAGGGGGAGTCGAGGTAAGTTGTGGAGGCACAGAGTTGGTTCAAACGAGACACAAAGGCCGCGCGGCACTCCCCTCTGTTGCTGCTGTTGAGGTAAAGAGGCTCTTGCTGCCAGCCAGCAGCAGCAGCAAGAGGGACGCAGCAAGTCATTCCCTGCTGCTTGCAGCTAACAGAGGGGGCCCCCATGTCTTCGGGGGGGGGCCCCCGGGCCACGAGGCCCAGGGAAGCAAGGGCCCCCCGCTGCAGCAGCGCGCTGTACCCCTGCAGCAGCTGCTGCACCTGCAGCTTCGTTATTGCTGCTTCTCCCACTTCCAGCAGCAGCGCAGCAGCAGCAAAAAAGAAATTCGACAAAGACACGAACTGCTGCAGCAGCTCCAGCCAGTCCCCCAGGGGGGCCCCCACAGCTGGCAGCTGCAGCGCCGGCAGCAGCTGCAGCGGCCGCACTGCAGCAGCAGCAGCAGCAGCAGCAGCAACTTCCTCCCCTTCTTCCTCTTCTTCGCTCAACGGCTCGCCTTCCTCTTCTTCTTCTTCCTCCTCTTCTGCTGCTGCTGCTGCTGCTGCTGCTGCTGCTGAGTCTGGGGAGTCCTCAGCCGCCATGGCAGCCATCAGAGAGTCCAGCAGGGTTTCTGCTGCTGCTTCTTCTGCTGTCAGAGGAGCAGCAGCAGCAGCAGCAGCAGCAGCAGCTTCGGTCGTCACCTTCGTCTTCTGCTGCTGCTGCTGCTGCTGCTGCTTGGAAGCGCGCCTTGCGGCTCTTTTTTCTTGCTGCTGCTTCTGCTGCTGCTCCTCCTGCTGCTCCTGCTGCTGCTGCTGCTGCTGCTTGGGAGCCAGCGCGGGCAGCAGCAGCTGCAGCAGCGGCAGCGAGCCGTCTTCGCCGTTCAGCTGCTGCTGCAGCTGCTGCTGCAGTTGCTGCTGCACCTCAGCAGCAAGCTGCAGCACTCGTTCAATTTCTGCAAAGAACTCCACCACCTGCAGCGCAGCAGCAGCAGCAGAGTGGACGCTGTTGGGGGGCCCCCCGGGGGGGCCCCCGGGGGGGCCCCCCAGGGGGCCCCCCGGGGGGCCCCCGGCAGCGGCATTATCAAAGCTGAAAGCTCTTCAACTGCAGCAAAGAACTGCGGGGCTTTTAAAATGACAGAAACAAAAGCCCCTCCTAATTCGAGGGCCCTGCTGAGGGTTTTGGTGGTTTGCTGCAGCGGGGGGGGCTGCTGCGTCGTTGTCGTTGTGCTGCTGCTGCTG